AACAGCCCCTTTTAAAAATTATTTTATATTGATTTTAATGAAAGTTTACAGAAACTTTGGATTTCCATTCATTCATTGTTGCACTTTTTTCCCTGCCCCCCAATTTGCTTTTCTTTTTGAAAAGTAAAAGAAAAAATTCTTTCATTGTTATTCAATCCTGCCCCCCAAGTTCACTCCACTACGCTACCTTTATTCTAGACTCCTGTCATAACAATAATATCTAATCACATCTCCCTTTTAAACAGTTCCCTCCCTCATCTGTTTCAATGCAGTATACATTATTTATCCCATCTTTCTCAGTCTCCCCCCAACCCCTACGTCAGTCTTCTTTTATAACAGTGGCATTATGGGGGGGGGATAATAGAAAGAGCTCTTTTGACTGGGAAGAAAATGGGGTGAATTAGCCCTGACATGGGCCTGAGAGGCAGCAAAAGTATAAATAGTGAGGAAGAAACGTACAGTTGACTAACCCACAACTGTCAGCCCATTGAATACACAAGGACCGTGTGTGGTTGTGGTCCCACCATGGAGCTGAGCTGCCTGACCCCACTCACAGCCTGTCACCTGCTCAATCTGAGACAACAGCTCACATTCAAGATGCAAAGGAAGCTTCCAGAGCTTTTCCTGGCCCTGGAGAAACTCAAAGCCTACCTAGAAGAGACCACAGATATAACACTGACCTCCTTTCCAGTCTCTCCATCTAGCAGGATAAAAATAATGTTAACAAAATAGAAAACTTTTAAGAGAGTGTTCTTGGAAACCACTCTTTTAACCATTTTTTTTTCTGTATTGCTGGGCCAACTTTCTCTTGATCATTGTTATCTGCTGGTAGGTAGAATCAGAGAAGTGAGGACAGAGCCCCAGAACCAGCAGGCAGGATCTTGCCTACAAAATGGGTCCAGGCACGTGTCCTTGCCTTCTGGCTGACCTGGATGACAACTGGGAATCTTTCTCCAACTAGGAGAGGGGTGCGTCAGTGAAAAGGAGATGTGCCTCCTGGTTTACTTGGTAGCCTTGCGAGGCTCTAACTTACCTGTTTGCAGGTAAATTCTACAACTTAGGTTCTATAACCAGGGTTGAGGTTGCAGGAGATGTCCCAGAAAGCAGAGCTGGGAGGGAGGGATGCTCACAACAGATTTCCTTTGGACTTAGACCATTTCAGCCTGTGGATGAAAAAAGTACTAGAGGGATATTTCAGGAAACAAGACCTTTGTAATGGCTCAGAATAAAAATAGAAAACAGTGTATTATTCTTCCAGGAGCCACTCTTCGCAGTTGCCAAGAAGTTAGGCTCAGTTGCCTTGGAGGCTGAAATCCTGGGGCGGCTAATAACACGCTTACACAGTCCTCCAGAAGTCCACCTGCCCCACACCCCCACATGTTCCGCTCTGCCTACAGGATGGCAGGGTGGGGGGACAGTACTTACTATGCAAGTTGTAAGTTGGTCCTCCATTGTAAGTTGGTTCTGATACAAGTTGTCTCTCTCCTTCCCCCTCACCCCCCATTATATGGCAGTAGTTTGGACAATAAGTCTTATCATTGAACATCTAGGAATAATAACATCAGCAAATTATAAACAGCAAAGTTAGACATAGTACATATACTAACATAAACTGTACAAAAAATATATCATCATAAAGGCAGTTCACCTTAAGTAGACCACATTGGAAGTTGGAAACTACCTGTAAATGAAATCTAGAGCAAGACAGTTTCCGTGGCGGCAGGGTAAATAAGGAGTCATTATTGTGACCAAATGCTTATTCCTCAATGGTATTGCCCTGATGGGCCATTTCTTTTCTAGACTTTCCTGCCTGCGTGGACAGGATGGAGAAGGGTTGGGTGACACCGTTGTTTTTTGAGTTTACCAAGAGGAAAGTTGTGATTGAAAATAGGAAGATGTTTACAGAAAATGCTGGGTATCACTTTGAAAGTGGAAGGAATAAAAGGATCAAGGGGAGAGGACTGAGTGTGAGGATTTCCCATACCTGCCATCTGGTATTCAAGTTAATGTTTTCCATTAGTGTAGGTCAGAGAGAGTAAAAGACCGTTTTCAAACAGCCTGGGAGACCACTAACTTCAGACAATGTGATTGCTGTGGATTTCAATATATAACATCTCATCATTTTTTAAAAAAATCCCTTAACCTGGGTAAATGTTTCCTGAAGGTAAATGAGGTTTCCAGGTTTGTGCTTGATGGTAACCTAAAGCTAAAGGTTGGTGTTTTAAACGCATCCAGAAGTAACATGGTGAAAAGAGCTGGCAACCTGCCTCCATAAAGATTGTTGTTGTCGTTGTAATGTGCCATTGAGTCGCCTATGACTCATAGTGACCATACAACAGCCCTAAACCCTGCTCTATCCCTTGCCAATCTTATTGTCTCCAACACACTTACCCCCATTACCCCAGTGACGGAAGATTACAGGCACGAAAATCCAATGGAGCAGTTCACAGTTCTAGAACACAGGATTACCGGGAATCAGAATCAACTTGACACAACAGCTTTTGGGTGTTTTTGGTTTTTAAATTTGTTTTCTGTGGATGAGATGATGTATAGTTACTTAAAAGTCTACCAAGTCAAGTTAAGATCCTAGAGAAGGGGGAACAGAGAAAAATTGGACAGTAGAACAAAAGATGGACAGAATACAGTTTTGCCTAAGTCATCGTGTCAGACATTTGTGTTATTTTTCCACAATATTGTGTGGCTCCTTGCACTTGGGGTGGGATTAACGTGGATGGATACCAAGCTGCTGAATAGGGTATCACTCAGGACACCTGGCCCTCCCACCCACCTGCCACACACACACACACACACACACACACACACACACACACGGGATTTTTCTTTTTTACTGTAGGTATTTTTTACAACAGTCAATTTTTTTGAAAAAAATTATTTTCCATCTTAGGGGGTGTGGGGTGAGATGGGGGAAATTCAAAGAGCACAAAACCCTAATTACCTCCATCCCTAGTGCCCATGTCTAATCTTGACCAATATTTCTGCACAGAGTCCTCCGGGGGATCTACTCCTCATATTCTAACATTCCACTCACTCCATTTTTATCTTCACCTTTCTGTGTGGAGGATTATGCTCGAGTCACCGAGAGCTCCCAGATAGATGGAGGAAATCTACTTGTGATTTTTTTAACCAGTTTCTTTTTTATTAGTAATCCACTAGGCACCCTCCTCCTGCTGAATTTGATAGTTCGTATCCATCCTAAGCCAACAAGAGTCCATCCTACACATCTTTTTCTTCTAAGCAGGAACATGTTTTAATTCGCAAACTGTTTGAAGAGATTAAAAATTCAGGCCCCAGAGAAACAACATTTGATGGAAGGTCTGAGCTCATACAACTTTATAACAGGTGTAAAGTCCAAAAGGGCTCAGATTTCTACCTCTTGTTTGATATCTCAGCCCTCAATACAGACCAGAACAAGGGGAGCTGACTTCCCTACAGTTCAAGGAGTGATAGGAAGGCGCTGGGGCCCAAGCCCAAGCCCTGCCCTGCCTTCCCCTCGAGGTGACGGAGACACCAGCCATGCCAGCATCAGTAACCCCCACGCATGTTCTCCTGCCTCTCTGGACCTGTTGGAGAGGTGACCTGCCTGCCCTGCCCATTACAGAACAAGTGGATTAGCCACAGGAGCTGCTGGGGAGCCTTAAGAAGAATGAATGGTGAGCAGCAGTCCCGTTTAAGGCCCACTGGGACTTTCAGAGGCAAATGGAAGAGCAGAAAGGCAAAGTGCAGTCAAGGGGGGCGGAGCTTCCACTGCAGGCAGCTCAAATCTGAAGGTTTCCAAGACCTGAGCTCAGGGAAACGTGGAAAAAGTCCCTGCTAAGGAGCTGGGCTGCCTGTCCCCTCTCTCCTCTTTGCTCTTTAAATCATACCAAGAGCTTATATGACATGTTACTTTGAGTGTTCGGCTTAAATAGTGGAGAAGACTATCCTTACAGGCAGAAATGGCTTCTTTTTGCTGTTGTTACCGTCTTCTCAGACTTTAGCACAGTGCTTAGTAGCCTAGTGGATAGGAAATTGCACTGCTAACCAAAAGGCAAGTGGTTTGAATCCACTAGCTCCTCCATGGGTGAAAGGTGCAATTTATAGGCTCTGAAAACCTGCTGGAGGGTCAGCTATGAGTCAGTTCTGACTTGACAGCAATGAGTTTGAGATTTTTTTAATTTTTTTTTAAACACAGTATCCAGAACCAAGTAGGCGCTCTAGGAAGCTTGGTTGAAGTAAGTCCTTCTCTTAAAATCTTCTTAGTTACTGGGACTAGAGGGTGAAATTTCCAAGCCTTGAAATGAATACATGCTTTGCTCTTAAATATGTTGTTTTTATGTCTTCAAGTTGGAGCAGACTCATAGCTGACCCTCCAGCAGGTTTTCAGAGGTTTTAAATCACACGCAAGGAGATTGTCTTTCTCCCACAGAGTTGCTGGAAGATTTGAACCGCCCGCCTTTGGGTTGGCAGCACACCTCCTTACCAGTGAGCCACCAGAGCTCCTGAGCCTGAGCAAAACCTTGGTGATTTGCCATTTGTCATTGGCCATGCCTTCTTTTTTATTTTACAAACTACTTGATTGTGATTTGATACTGTAGAAGATGACCCAAAAGATTTACACTAAACTAAAGGTTGGGTTTGAAGCCTGTCCTGTGGTATCACAGAAAAAGGCCTGAGAATCTGTGTCCATAACAATTAGAACCAAGAAGACACCTCCCACCTCAGCAGTTCTGCTCTGCAATGACTCGGGTCACCCCAGGTCAGAATCAACTTGATGGCGATAAGTTTAGGTGTGATTTTTTTATATATAAACATGGAAAAATTCTCATGATTGTGTTGATAATCCTGTGTCAGGATGTCTTCCTATATAATGCATATATGATTCTACTCGCTGATATTGTTTAATACTAGCAGCAAGTAAAAGTCTAATTTTATGTTTCTTTCTCTGCATGCCTTTCCATCAGAGCTCTCCATCCCATCTCTATAAAGCGCTGAGGAATCCCAGGACCAACAACCGAAGTCAGGCCTTTGGCAGATGGGCACCGGTATCCTCAACTAACCCGCAGGATGGAGACCATGCCCTTAAACTCTCCGAAGGAGCCATCCGCGGGTGAGGATAGAGAAGACTGTCAAGGCAATGGAGTCCTACAGAAAGGGGTCCCTGCCTCGGGCCAGAAAGCTGAGCCCAGCCAGATCTCCAACGGGTACTCAGCAGTTCCGAGCCCCGCAGGAGATGACACCCAGCACTGCGCCCCAGCAGCTACCACAACCTTAGCCACAGAGGTTCATCAAGGGGAACGGGAGACCTGGGGCAAGAAAGTGGATTTCCTCCTCTCTGTCATTGGCTACGCTGTGGACCTGGGCAATGTCTGGCGCTTTCCCTACATATGCTACCAGAACGGAGGAGGTCAGTACCCTGGACTGCAGAGCGGGGCGGGTGGGGGGGGCCCTGGAGTGGGCTGTGGATCCCCTTGGGAAGCCAAAGGATAAACCAGGTCTTTACTGTCTTGTGAAACTGCATGATTGCTTAGAGTTTCCAAGCTATGCTTAAAGACAAAATCTTAGATCAGTGTATCAAAGGATCTTTGGGTTGTAAAATTGGACCAAAGCTCTCCCAAATTTGACCTCACCAGGTTCCCATCACTGTGGGTGCTTCACACCAGGAGGAGGACTGTTTGTGCCAAGCTAAGGTCCTCGTTTCAGGTGGCACATCCTGCTCTGAGGGATCTGGAAGGGTTAGATCTGCACAAGGAATGGTTAAGAGCTGGCTTCAGTGTCCCCGACCCTGTTGCTGGACCTGTATGGGGTCAGAGCGGGTTACCATCAGTCTAGAGTCTTAGGTTACCAGAGTGGGCTAAATCTAAAGCTAAATTTAGTCACAATGTGAAAATAACACTAACCCCAAACCATATCAGGAGATGCCTCAAACATCGGTGGGAGACTTGAAGTTTTCCAGTCTGGAGACCAGCTACTGTTCTTTCTGATACCCCTCAACATATTTAAGGGCATTCCTTTGCAGATCCTCAGACTCACAGCACAGTAGGCATGGCTGTGTGTGGCAGTGCAGGGCGAGAGGTGATCCACAGGAACCCCTGTGTGGACCCTGGACTTGCTATCAGTGCACGATAAGGACAAGAAAAGAGAGTCCAATCTGTCAATGTTTATTTTGATAGGAACTCTAGCAATCGATTTGAAAGGAAAGCTTCAGTGAGGTTGGGGAGCTAATTCATTTGTGTCACCCTCATGTCTTCCATGACCCAACAAGAGATCTGAGTCATCAGTGTCACTTTAAACACTTCTGTTCCTGCAGCTGCAAAGGCAATTCCAGAGGGTCCCAGGAGCCCAGAGCTCCCTGGTGTGGAGGAGAGAAAGTCATAGGCACCTTATCAGCATCCTGGGAGACTCACCTTTAGCCTGAGCATTATTTGAAGGGGCTGGGGCCCTGATGAAGTCTCTTAAAAGCCTTTTATCCCTAGGTCATCACCAAAATGGCAACTCTGTTTACTTCTCAAGCCGGATTCACCCAGTGTGGTTAAAAGTTAGGTGAGGCTTTTCTGAGGTGCCCTGACTTTTGAATTCCTGGGTTCAAAGCATTTTATGAGATGGAATGTTATCTGAGAGAATTAGAGCTGATCCACCCACAGGGCTAAAATGACAAATTCACAGCTGATTCACTGACAGGGCTAAAATGACATATTCAGCCTCAAAACGTGCAGTCTTGCAAGGTCTAGGGGACGCCAGCGTGACCAGTGATGAAGCATGGTCATGTTATGAAAACTTAGTCTGTTTTTCAAAGACATACCTGTGAAAGTGTCTCATGAGAGAAAATTTTTTAGCTCAGTGAAATGACAGGAAGAGCCCAATGCTGCTAGCCAAGGGTCTGGCACCTGGATAATAGAGACATGCAAAGACGCTGGTTCAGAGACCAAAATGATGCAGCTGGCAGGGACTTCCCAGTTAACGGGTCTAAGGGTCCCTAACACTGGTCTGTTGTGTGAGAATCACTGGTTGTTAGTTGTTGTTGTTGTTGTTAAGTGCTGTTGAGTCATAGATGACTGACTCATAGTGACCCTATGAATGAAAGACATGAGCACTGTTCATAGAGTTTCCGGAGGCAAGCCATTTCAGAAGTGGATGCCACTCCTGCTTCCAAGCTTGTTTTAATTGGGAAGCTTCACCAAACTCTGTCCACCATGGGCAGCCATTATCACATTTGGCACATCAGTGTCACAGTGTTCAGCATCACAGCATCCACGAGTTACCTCTGTACAGCAATGCACAGACCAGTGATATACTACACAGAAGAATGTTTGACAAAAAACAATTTAAACCAGGTCTGAGTGCAGCAGATTGAAATCACCCACCTTGGGCTTGGTAGCATAACTTTCTGTCCACTAGGCCAACGTAGCTCTCTCTAGCACTGGTCTGTTATATGAGAATCACTGGGGAGCTTGAAGACAAAGTTTATGTCATGCCTGGCCTTGGAGATTCTGCTTCAGGACACGTGGGATGGACCTAGGAATGTGTGTACATGCTTGTTTTTAAACTCCCCGTGGATTATGGTATATGGCTGGGTTTCACGGCTGTAGTGCTCCTCAATTTGGCCCTTTAATAAGGAAGAAAATTGAAACTCTGAGGGATGGGGTGGTCCCAGGGAGTTAGAAGCTTAACTGGTAGTGCCAAGCCTCTTGACTCCCAAGCACAGCTCTCTCCCACAAGCTGTTCAGAACCTCTCTTCAGCCATGTTGCTCTGTCCACTAAGCACCAGGACAAGGACAGGAAAGTGGGAAGTTACTTGGCACAGAGCTGCTGAGCCATCAGAGGCTTCTCGAAGTCCCCCTGGGCCACGTGTCCGATTGGTTGGGTTTTCTGGGCTGGATGTGGGCAGGGAATGGATTTATCTCCCGTCTCTCCCCTTTCTCAGGGGCGTTCCTCCTTCCCTACACCATCATGGCCATTTTTGGAGGGATCCCGCTCTTCTACATGGAACTTGCGCTGGGCCAGTACCACAGAAATGGATGCATTTCAATATGGAGGAAGATCTGCCCAATATTCAAAGGTGAGTGAAAGGCTTGGGTGATGGCTGCATGGGGCCTCCTGAGAAGATGTGAGAAGCAGGGGACCTTCTGGAATCACTCAGGCCTCACTGTTCCTGGGGTAGTTAAGTTTTTTGTTTGTTTTGTTGTTGCAAAATGAACTTTTTGAATAAATAAACAAAAAGACTCTTGTAGCAGAGGGTTTATCTGTTCCTTAGTCAAGAAGTTTCTTATGAAACACATCTAAGAATTTTTTGTTTTGCTTTGTTTTTATTTTTATTGCTTTGCTTACAATGTTCATATATATATTGTGTTTCACACTATTATTATTCATTCACATTGTGTTTCATACAATTATTCTCATGAATTATGTTTTATAAAAGTAATCACTACTGGACCTTGTCCATCATTACCCTGTCTTTTTGCCCAGGTCCTTCCCATAAAAATATGAGAAAATGCTTCATGCATTTTCATGTCATCCTTGTGCAAGGGCCATGCTAATTTTCTCTGTACCTGTCTAATTTTGGTATATGTGCTGCCAAAGAAAGTTTTTTACTGTAAAGTTGTTGATTTGGCAAATGCTTTGTTGTACATAGTTTTGTCACAATAATATAATGCATTTAGGTATGTGTGTAAAAGGAGACCAAAATAAATGATAATTGAAATAATACATTTTTGAAGAAAATAAAAGGTAAAATGGACTTTTCAATACATTGGCAACATGCTAACACATTTTCTGAAAATGACATCACTTTGCAGATAGACAGAAATAATGTATTGGATTATCATTTTCAACTTCCTGAGACCTTGGGGAGTGAAATGAGAAACAGTGCCCCTACCCCACCTCCACCACCACCGGGCAGTCTGCTGTACTGTGGTGGCTTGCATGTGGCTATAGTGCTGGAAACGATGTCATCACTATTTCAAATACCAGCAGGGTCACATAGAGTGGGCAGGTTTCAATGGTTCTTCCAAACTAAAAGTGTCTAGGAAGACAAGCTTGGCAATCTCTTTCCAAAATTAGTCAATGGAATCCCTGTACAGAACAATAAAATATTCCAGAATATACTACTTGACATGAGCAACCTGGGTTGGTTGTTGTTGCTTTGTGCCATTGAGTGACCTGACACTCAGAGCAACCCTATGTATAATAGTCTGAACTCTATCCTATTCTGAGTCAATCTCACTGACTCTGACACACCTGCCCCAATTGCCCTAACTACTGGGTCAGTCTACCTCACCCTGGATCTTCCTCTCTTGCACTGTGCCTCCAACCTTCCAAGTGTGATCTCCTTGTCCAAGGACTGGTCCCTCCTGGCTACATGCCCAAAGTGTGTGAGACAGAGTGACAAAATCCTTGCCTCCAAGGAACAGCCTGGTTTTACCCTCTCCAGGCAGGATAAACCTGTTCTCTTGGCAGTCCATGATACATTCAGTACTCTTCTCCAGCACCACAACTCAAAGGCATCACTTCTTCTTCTGTCATATTTAGTCGTTGTCCAGCTCTGTGATGTATAGTAAATAATTGTGAAGACCGTGGCCTGGATCTGGCGTACTTTAGTCTCCATATTGGTATCATTGCTCTTTATCATCTTTGAGAGGTCCCTGATATCAGCTTTCCCCAGAAAAATTAACTTTTTCTTTCTTGACTGCTAGTTCCAAGATTGTTGACTCTGGAGCCAAGAAAACTAAAATTGTTAACAACCTCAATCTCTTCTCCATCTGCAATGGTGCTGCCAATTGGCCCAGTGGTGAGACTCTGTGGCTTCAACAGTGAGCTCAAAAATAACAACCACCACTTAGAAAAGATATTACTTTAATTCAGAAATTTGCTTTTGGTTTGTTAGGGGAAAAAAAAAAAAGAAAGAAATAGTAAATATCAACCAACGTGTGTTAGGATCGGGCAGCTTTGCGTTCTGTTGTCTACATGTCTGTGAGTCCGAGGCATTTCTGTGGCTGTTAACTATGAAATCCCACCTCTGCCTCTCGGGCTCCTTCACACTGGGCTGCCCCTTAGACCTGTGGGTCCTCTTTCCCTCTCTCTCACTTCCCAGGAATTGGTTATGCCATCTGCATCATTGCTTTCTACATCGCCTCCTACTACAACACCATCATGGCCTGGGCACTCTACTACCTCATCTCCTCCTTCACGGACAAGCTGCCCTGGACCAGCTGCGAGAACCCCTGGAACACCGGCAACTGCACCAACTACTTCTCTGAGGACAATGTCACCTGGACGCTCCACTCCACGTCCCCAGCGGAAGAGTTTTACACGTAAGTGCATGGAGGGTGTAGGTGAGCGGTAACCCGTCTGGGCCGGGCCACGTCCCTGACATGGCAGATTTCTGAGAGGTGAGTCAATATGAGTGAGGAGGCGACAGAGCCGGAGCTCTGGCAGGATGTGGAGTTCGGCAACCGCCTGAAGGCTCTGTAACTGGACGCTCTTGTGCCTCGCCCCTCCTTTCTGATGCCCAGTCTGCCCAGTGTACCCAGGCTGGTGTTTACCTTCATATTCCAAAATTACTCCCCAGCTTCAAACCCATTCTTCTTCCTGGGCCCTCTTCTGAGCTGTTTGTTGTGGAAGCAAAGCATCTAACTGACTTCGGATGGTGTTTAGTGTCATGTGTTAACGTCATAAGTGAGCTCTCCCTTTTAGCAGACGATTGGAGGAGGTATCATCCTCTCAAGGCTGAACTTCAAGCAGGGTGACAGTGTGAAAATAGCTATTTTTGGAGTGGCAGAGAGGCCCCAGGACCCACACATACAAATCTTCTTGTACCAAAATGCCAGTTGTGCTGTTGAGAGGGGTTTGGATCCCAGCAAGTCAACCCAGAGGTCTATCTTTGGGCTCAGTGCTCTTCGCAAGGGTGATGGTGGGTCGAGAGTCCTTCTGGGACTGTGTGGTCCTTGCAGTTCAGCGCCTCTTAGAGGCATCATGAACGATGCTCAAGTCACTGCTCAGACCTCATGAGCCTCTCTTTCACCCCAGACGCCACGTTCTACAGCTCCACCGGTCACAGGGACTCCAGGACCTGGGGGGCATCAGCTGGCAGCTTGCCCTCTGCATCATGCTGATCTTCACCGTCGTCTACTTCAGCATCTGGAAAGGTGTCAAAACATCTGGAAAGGTGAGAGGGGGCTCTGGCTGATGCTCCAGGCCGGCCAAGGGGCCCGGAGGGTCTCACAGTCAGAACCCAACCTAAAGAGAGGAGACAGTGACACTCCATGGCGCTCAATCTCTGCACTAAATCTCTTGGAAAACGAGGGGAATGGACCAATCCCAAATACCTTTAAGCCATGTGCAATATCACAGTTGGGGTACTGTGGTGGCATAGTGAGTGTTGTTGTTGTGTACTGTAGAGTCGGAACCAACCCATAGCTGACCCTCTAATGGATTTTCAGATGCAGTTAACCCCACAAGGGGGGATTTGCTCATCCTTCTCCTGCAGAGCAGCTGGTGGCCTTGAACTGCGTGCCTTCGGGATTGTCGCACAGCTTCCTACCACCTGAGCTCCCTGGTCTAGGGGGTAGGAAGTTGCAAATCTATCAGTTACTTCACAAGAGAAATATGGGCAGTCTCCTCCTGTGTGACGTACAGCCTCTGAAAACCTCTTGAGGGGTCAGCTGTGAGTTGGTTCCAACTCAGTGGCACATAACAACAACAACAGTTGCCACAATTAATCATAGTGGCAAAAATATTTTTGCAGTCATTTATTGAAAACTACCATATATACGCTTTACGTACACACTGGCTAACGATAGTTTTTCCACTTTATAGTCTCTATGTCTTAGGGGTAGCTAGTATTGGCCAAATGAGGGCAATGGTGGTTCAGTGGTGGAATTAATACCTTCCATGTAGGAGACCTAGGTTTGGTTCATGGACTATGAACTTCCTGTCCAGCCACCTTCCATCTGTCAGTGTACACTGCCCCCCCCCAATATTACTATAATACTAAACAGGCTTCAGCAGAGCTCTAAGACTAAGATGGGCTGGGAAGAAAGGCCTGGAAATCTACTGCAGAAAGCCAGTCAGTGAAAACCCTGTGGATTACCAAGGTTCTCCCTGCAGCCAATCCTGGGGATGGCAAAGGAGTGGGCAGTGTTTTCTTCCGTTTTGCATGTGATCACCGTGAGCCCGGGGCCAACGCAAAGGCAGCTGACAACAACCCAACAAGAGCACTGGCCAAGGTGTGAATCAAATCCCTGTCTAATTCTAAAGCCTGTGATCTTTCCACCACACCAACCTGCCTCTTAAAATTATAGAGGGAAAGAGGGTGAGGGTTTCCTTTCATCGAGAGCTTCAAGGAGAAATGACACAACACCTACCCACTTTCCTCCTAGCCTCGTCTGAGTGCAGTGATAACCCAACTTCCCTTCTCCCTCCTCACAGGTGGTGTGGGTGACAGCTACTTTCCCTTACATCATCCTCTCCATCCTGCTGGTGAGGGGGGCCACCCTCCCTGGAGCCTGGAGGGGTGTCCTCTTTTACCTGAAACCCAACTGGCAGAAACTCCTGGAGACAGGGGTAAGATAATGAGGTGAATGGTGAGGACTGTCTGACATTTTGCTGACCGAAGTTACTTCTCTGCCTGGGACAGACAGTAGGGGCAATTGAAATTTGCCTTTCAAATCCACTGATGCTTCAAACCAGAAATGCAAACGTGATAGGAGAGAAATCACAGTTGTTTGAACCTGATGTGTCTTTGGCATGAGCCTTGAAAGCTGATTTTTGCTGGATCCTCTGCATATGTGGAAGCATAAGAAGAGTTAGTTCCCCTCTCCACCTTATCCCACCACTGTTTTCCCCAACGGCCCTGCCTCTGCTGTGTTTCAGGTGTGGGTGGACGCCGCGGCTCAGATCTTCTTTTCTCTTGGTCCCGGCTTTGGAGTTCTGTTGGCTTTTGCCAGCTACAACAAGTTCAACAACAACTGTTACCAGTGAGTACCTGGATTCCTCGGGCAAAACTTCAAAGGGGGAGAGCAGGAAGTATCTGACCTGGAGTTGGAACTGATGACTTTAAACCTGGCCAAGCTCAAGCTGCGGTGAGACCTCAGCCAGACCACTCTCCTAGCCTGTAACCTCACCTGCACTTCTCAGGTGTTGAGAGAGGCCTATGCCACTTCCGTTTTGTGAGAGTCCTTGTATGGACAACAAACAACTCGACTCAACTCATTGCTGTTGAGTTGGGACCAGTCCATAACTGGCCCTTGACTGGGTTTCAAGGCTATAAATTGCACTGGACGAGGTTGCCCATCTTTCTCCTGAGGAGCCCCTGGGGGATTCAAACTCTCTAGGGACTATGTCAATTAATTGTAAAAAGCAGGCTGCAAAAAATTACAACACACTTTAAATATTTAACTTTAGCTGGTGTGAAGGGAGCTCTGGTGCCTAGGAAAGAAGCTGTGCTACAATCCCAAAGGCACAAAGTTCAAATCCACCAGCTGCTCCACTGGCAGAAACCCGTTGGAGGGTCATCTCTGAGTTGGTTCCAATTTGACAGTACACAGATGTGTTTAGGGAGCTCCAGGGGTGTGGTCCATAGAAACCTGTGCTGCTAACCCCAAGGTTATAGCTCCCTGGCAGTTTGAATCCACCAGGGACTCCTGGGGAGAAGGATGGGCAGTCTTCGCCTGTTCAATTTACAACCTCCAAAAAATACACTCGGGGACTGGGTTGTCATCAGTTATGAGTCAGTTCCAACTCCATGGCAGTAACTTTAACTATTTGCTATTAACTATGTATTATTTGTTTAATACCAAAAATCACAGTGCCCTGGCCTATGTCTACTCAACTCAATGCCATCCAGTTAGCGGGGTTTTCAGAGGTTATGATTACCCATCATTCTTCTTCGGAGCCAGTAGTGGAATTGAACTGCCAGAGACCCTGCCTTTGAATTAGGTGTGCAATCCCCTATGGACTAAGCCACTGAAACTCCCCGCTAGTTTATGTATGTTGCTGTCAGTATGGGCTGTCATGTCAGAATCGATCCATGGCTGATCCTCCATTGAGTTTTCAGCGGCTGTAAAACACACAGGAGGAGACTGCCCATCTTTCTCTCACAGAGCAGCTGGTGGATTTGAGCCACATGCCTTTGGGTTAGCAACACAACTCTTTATCACTAGGAAAAAGTATGATGCTGAAACAATTTTGACCAACACAAAATGTTATCATTTTAATGGCAAAGTCTCACTCTAGAATTTTTGACCAGAGGGCATTGTGCCCATTGTGACTGAAATACCATTCATCATCTCTAGACTTAAACTTGTGTTAATGAATCATAGCACAGTTGGCAACATTCCACAGTCTAATTGTGCTGATTACAAGATTTCTTCTTTGAAGGGATTCATATGCACCATGGACAGTAGGGTCCTGCATTGTCCTGACATAGACTTGTCGTCTTTTAAAAGTATTAGAGTTTCTCTAGGGCGGTCTTGTGATTCCATCTAGACAGTGTCAAAACCTTAGATCTGAATAGACAAACGCATGGAGACTAAAGTTTATTAGTGGTTGCTGGAGGCAAGAGGAAAGAGAGAGGAGAGACTCTTTGTTCAGGAATCCCTGAGGATCTGCTTATGGTGATGAAAAATTTGACCACAGATCTGAGCGACAGTTGTACATCATGATTCAGATAATCACTGCCTCTGAAATTGTACGTGTTAAAAAAAGTATGTTGACAAGTGTTGAGGTTTTATGTATCTCACACACACGTCTAGATCTGAGGACGTCACAGTTGTGAAACCAACAACCCTGGTCCAAATTTCAACAAACTTCAGAGCAAGACTTACAGGATATGGTGAGGTCTAAACTGTGGGTGATACAACACTCAACTGCTGACCAAAATGTTGACCATTCAAACCTACTCAGAGTCACCTCAGAAGACAGACTTGGCAATCCACTTCTCAAAGATCATGAGCAAAACAAACAAACAACCCCCAAAACTCTATGGAGTAGTTCTACTCTGTGTTCATGGGGTCACCACGAATGGGAATCCACTCAGCAGCTAACAACAAGAGCAATGAGTTTTGCTGTATTGAAACATGGTCAGAGCTTAGAAGATAGCTTTAATCAGCCATTGCCTGCATGCCATATACTGTGGTTATTACCATCTTTAGGGGTGATTCAGCCTGCCTGAGAGGCCTGGGCTCTGACAACAGAAGAAGATGCCAGGGGAGGCCTGAGGTCCTGTTCACTCAGCCCACTCACCCTTTCGGAGGCAGGCCAGCCTCAGTGATGCACTTACATGCCTTACACTCCCAGCCACCTCTGTTTTCTCCCCCAGAGATGCCCTGGTGACCAGTGTGGTGAACTGCATGACGAGCTTTGTTTCAGGATTTGTCATCTTCACGGTACTTGGATATATGGCCGAGATGAGGAACGAAGACGTGTCTGAAGTGGCCAAAGATGCAGGTAGGACTAGGGTTCTGTTTAGGTCCTTTGCTCCTGCTGAATTTCTCTAAGCTGCCCTGGCCCATATTTCTCTTTGCCGCTCTCTGGAGCTTTGCAAATTCTGACTCCAGAATTATTATATTGTTTAAATGAACACTCAACAGGGACATTTGTTGTTAAGTGTCATTGAGTCAAGTATGATTCGTAACAATCCTAGAAACAATGGATCTGAGCCCTATCCTGTGCGCCATCCTCATCATTTCTGATATACTCAAGGCTACTGTTACATAGTCACTATATCAATTTGGCTCATTAAGGGTTTTCCACTTTTACAGGCCTGATATCCTTTTCCAAGGATTGGCCTCTCCTAAAAACATAACCAAAGTATGTGAGATGAAGTTTCACTATCCTTGCCTCCAAGGAGCCCTCTGCATCTATTCCCAGACATAACTTGTTTGTTCTTTTGACAGTCCATGAGATATTCAGCACTCTTCTTCAATACCACAACTCAAAAGCATCAAGTCTTCTTCTGTCATTGTCCAACTTTCAGCTACATAGCAAATAATTGAAAACATTATGGTTTGGATCAGATGCACCTTAGTCTTTAAACAGACATCATATATTTTAATAGACTTTAAGAACCGTTTTTTGTGTTCAAGGATTGAGTAAAGGATTTAAAATGTCCCTATTAACTTTTTCAGAGGTTTTGGAGAAATTTTCTGCCCTGGGGATTTAAGTGTTTCCATAATTTAGGCCAGAACAGTCCTGGGGGACTTCTTAGCACGCTATATTGAGGCCATGAGCACTTTGTGGGCTAGAAAGTAAGACTTAGATAATTGCTTTAAAAACAGTGGTTTTAGGTCCTTAGTCCAGATGCCTATGCCCAATAAGCAAATGATTCATAATCCTTAGAACTGCTCCTTAGAGAAAAATAAGATCCAACTGACTCTGCCAATTGCTTGTCTAGTGTATGATGAGATTTTCATGGAAAAATAAAACAGCAGCAGATGTGGAAGTCTCAGGGCTTTCCTGCTAATAGTCTATGTGTATTTGGCATGAAGAAGTCCTCTGACCCCTTCCCCCAGAAGGAGGGCACTTTGTGAGCCCATGAGAAGTTGAGGGCATGTTCCTCACACAACCAAGAGGGACTTGTGACTATCCGGAAATTAGTATTCCAACTTCGCTTTTCTGAGATGAAAGATGTTGTTGTGATCATTATGTGCCCTCCAGTCAGTGCTGACTCATGGAATAGCCACAACAGAATGAAACACTGCCCAGCCCAGTGCCTTCCTCATAACTGTGACTGGCTTTGAGCCCATTAGTGCAGCCACTGAGTCACTCCTCTTATTGAGGATCTTCTCTCAACTAAGGGGCCTAAATGCTCTGGGATTTTAGAAGTATCAACTCTAGCCCCAAAGGAGAGTACTGAATTAGGATATTGTTGATGCTTTTGAGCTTTGGTGTTGGAGAAGAGTGCTGAGGGTACCATGGACTGCTAAGAAAACAAACAGATTCATCTTGGACAGGGTTAAACCAGGCTGCTCCTTGGAGGCAAGAATTCCGAGGCTTCGTCTGACATACTTTGGTCAGGTTGTAAGGAGAGGGACATCATGCTTGGGAGGGTGGAGGGCACGCACAGGAGGGGAAGGCCCTCTGGGAGGTGGGTTAATTTGGTAACCGGGGCAATTGGGATGAGTGTGTCGGAGACAATGAGATTGGCACAGGACAGAGCAGAGTTTAGAGTTGTTGTACATAGGGTCGCTATGAGTCGCAAGCGACTTGACGGCACATAACAACAACAACAACAACAAATGATTATTAGTTTGTGTAACTCTGCTAGTCTCAAGTTTGTGTCCATCACCAATGGAATTGTTGATGAGACTGAGGGTTCCTCTCTAATGGCTCTGTAGGGCAGAGCCTGGTGACAACTCCCTTCTCTCTCCTCCATCTCAGGCCCCAGCCTCCTCTTCATCACATATGCAGAAGCCATAGCCAACATGCCAGCATCCACGTTCTTCGCCATCATCTTCTTCCTGATGTTAATCACCTTGGGCTTGGATAGTACGGTAAGTGAATGAGGAAGGACATGGGCCAGAGGAAGACCAAGGGGAAGTGGAGAAAGAAAAGGAAGCTTTGGCCATTCTCCCCCATTTTGCCCATCCCAGGTGGACTTGACTGCTGGCGTAACCTTGCTTCCTTCTTTACTTCTGAGTGATAGCACTCAGCACCCTTTGGGCATTTGAGTGAAGTAAAGAGAGCAAGTGCCACGTGGGGATGGCCATGTCTGACCTTTATCAGCTTCACAAAGGGAAACTGTCCCGATCAACAGCATCAATACACAAAACCAATTCCTATGAGATCAGACATATCCCCACATTCCCATATCTTTTTCTACTCATCTCAACACCAATTTTATTGTTTTATGGCTCTAAAATATGATGTGATAGCTCACAGACCACACAGATCCCTATTGGGGAAGTCGAAAGGTTATAATTCAGATTAATAGCAGAATACAGTTAAGACAGTTCCCAAAATGTGCACAAAGTCACCTCAGCCTTGAGCCTTGCAGTGTTTATAAGTTCTCAGTCTTGCTAATATTGGCTTCCCACCCACTATTCTCAGTCTCAGTCCTGCCAATATTGGTCCTCCCCCTACTGTTGTCCAGCAAGTTTCTCAGTCCTGACAATATTGGCTTCCTCACCTCAAAGTCCCATCTCACATCAATTCTCCAGGTCAGCTATGGATACTGCTGCCATCTTGAAGCATGTCTTATATTTTCCTGCCTGCTCTTCACCGAGGTAGAGAATGTTTCTACCCTATTCTCTGGCAGGGGAGAATTCTGATTCTTCTGGCTAAAAGCTATTCAGTTTACTGGTGAGACTAGCCAATCCTCTTGTAGGTTGTTGAGACGGGCCAATCCCTTTGTGGAATGGTAGATAGCCAATTCCATAGCAAAGTCAAGTAAAGGCTGGAAAAGTCTTATTGAAAGATAAACTCCATGTTATTAATGTGATAAAGTGGGCCAAATGTCCAGCACAACATATGTGAACTATTATTCTTGTGCACTGACCTTAGACCAGATGATGGTCTCTAAATGTCACTCAGATCAGTCTGTGTCTCAGTGCTCCACCTACTATCTGACCCAATTCCTTGCACTGGCTTGGGTTGAATGAATCTTAGCTTGAATAGGCCCTTCTAAAATGACTGGAGTCTCTCCAAGACCTTTAGGGCACCTTACAAATGCAGGTCTGCCCATGTGCTCTATTTTCTTTCCTGGGGTTGTTTTTTAAGATGGAATACAAATATGTAAAAATTCTGGTGCTTGTGGAGGTTGGTGAGGCTGGAAAGCTGGTCATGATTGGCTTTACGTGCACCCAGTGGTCTCTGAGATCTTGATATGGGACCTAATTCCTGACTGTGTGCTTTCTGGGAAGTAGCTAACTTGACCTAAGGCCTTCACTATGACCATGGGTGTTTTCCTCTTAGTTCGCAGGTTTGGAGGGGGTGATCACAGCTGTGCTGGATGAGTTCCCCCACATCTGGGCCAAGCGTCGGGAGTGGTGTGTGCTGGGGGTGGTTACCACTTGCTTCTTTGGATCTCTGGTCACCCTGACTTTTGTGAGTACCATTCCTTCACTTTTGAGAGGGTCTTCCCATGGCAGTGTGATCTATAAGAAGCCTCCCAGTCCACTCAGTGACTGACCTTTGGGACCAAAGGAGGAGTTATCATGGTCATTAAAATTTGTCACCAAGGATAAGAAGAAAAGTTGTTTCTGGAACGATCTGGTTCTGAGATCCATACATAGTATCTGCAGATTCTTCCCATTTTATAGCAGATCCAACTAGACTTGAGGCTTAACAAAATGTCTAGTCAGCACCTAGGATCAATTTTCTGTTATCACTACTAAAAGCTGCTTTCTTGGGAGGATTGTCTCAAAGCTCAGAACATCTGAAGACTGACATCTTGTGTTTATAGCCATGTCAATTCCAGGCAGTGGTAAGGAAATCAGACCTCTCTAGCTTTTTAAGAAATTTTTTAAAAAAAATGTATAGCTGAGTCAAATGCTGTCCATGTGCATAGTGCCCACAGGCACCTCAGGTTTGTGTTCTCCTGATCAAGGCGGGCTTAATGCATACACATCTTCAAGTTGACCCCAGTGACTGCAGAGCTTCTTCAGGGTGGTAACACGCTGAGTGGAACACGGGAAGCCCGAGTCAAGACAGAAGGCGAGATTATGAGCCTTATGCTCAATATATCTAGTATCACGACACTCCCTGGCAGTTTCAAGTCTTTGGAGAGCAGGATCTTGAGGATAATGGGCACAGCAGGTCTGCAATTGCTGGGAGAAAGCTGAAAATAGATTCAAAGAGCATTTGGAGTTGTACACTTGAAACTTAGTTGGAAGAGCCAACAAGTGCAAAGGAAGTATTCCCTGGGTTTAGATGAAACATGAGCCCCATCTGAGCACCTCAGGAAGTAGGCTCTGGAATACTAATACTAGGTCCATGGTGGGAATTTTTTCAAATGCTCTTAAGAATTTGTCTTAGAGCTGATCTCTCATTGAGGTTTCCAAGCTGTAAATCACCACGTGAGGAGATTGCTCATTTTTCTTCTAGAAACTTCTGCAGCCCCTGCATGGTACAAAAAGTGTACATTCTTGACTGCCAACTGAAGGGTTAGAAGTTCAAGTCTGCCTAGAAGCACCTCAACAGAAACCTGGCCATCTATTTCCCCAAAATCAGTCTCATTGAACCTGTGGAACACAGCTCTACACTGGCAGGCATAAAATTGCCTTGAGTCAGAATCAACTAATGATTAACTAGTTTTAAGGTTCTGCAGACACCTCTAGTCAGGAGAAGGCAGTGCCTCAAGGGGCCCTTAACCAGCTTCACAATCTCATTTCCAGGGAGGGGCCTACGTGGTGAAGCTGCTGGAGGAATATGCGACAGGGCCTGCGGTCCTCACGGTCGTACTGATTGAAGCAGTCGCTGTGTCTTGGTTCTATGGTAAGCTGCTGCCTACAGTAAACAGCCGTCCTCTCTGTATCAGCCCCGAGTGAACAGAATAGATGACTGATTTCACCAAAGAAAAGGAAGCTCTGTTTACAAGGCGTAACCTCCTGATGTTGTTTGTTGTTTGATGCCGTCAAGTCATAGACGATTCATAGCCACCCTATGAACGAACGGCCTGAGCACTGTTCGTACATAGAGTTTCCGGAGGCAAGCCATTTCGGAAGTGGATGCTGCTCCTGCTTCCAGAACCTCCTGATAGGCCTATAAAATAATCTCAGCCTTCTTCAGAATTAGGTTATTTTCTCCACAAATTAACCATGCTAGAAAAGGAGGAGGGTCAGAGAAAGAAAAGAAAACCCTCAACAAGATGAATAGACACAATGACTGTAGCAAAGGTCTGGAGCGTATCAGAGATGGTGAGGATTCCGTGGGATAGGGCAAGACTCAGATCTGTTGTTCAGAGAGGGTCGATATGAGTCACACTTGACCGATGGCACCTAACAACATCTTGAGATAACACTGTTCCTTTTGGGTTCAGATGTTTACCTAGTGGAGATATTTGACATGATTCCATATAGCTCACGTCTGGTGAGTGCTGTGAAGAGAATGACTGGTTCGAAGAACCAGATGGAGAACAAAGAGATAGTGTGTGATGAATGCATTTTCAGAGTGGACTTTGTTGTTATGTGCCATTAAGCTGAAACAGACCCAGAGCTGATCCTCCATCTCCAGATTTTAGAGGCAGTAAATCTTATAGGAAGAGATTGCCCATCATTCTCCCTTGGAGCAGCTAATGAATTTGAACCACCCGTCTTTGGGTTGGCAGTGCAATTCCTTTCCACTAGACCACCAGAGTGACCCGTGATGATACACTACATAAAGTCAAAGTCAAATCCACTAGCATGTAATCAATTCTGACTTGTGGCGACCCTCTATTGGGCTTTCAAAGTTGTAAATTTTAATAAGAAGATATTATTGAATCTTTCTTTTGTTGAGTGGTTGGTGGGTTCAAACTGCCAATCTTTCAGTTAGCAGCCCAACACTTAACCTATGACACTGTAATCATTGGTATCGAGTTGAATGGAGTCTGCTCAGAGCTGATCCACTACTGGGTTTCTAACACTATAAACTGCATAGAAAGAGATTGTCCATCTTTCTCCTCAGGAGCCACTAGTGGATTTGAACAAATAGAGGCTCTACTTTTGAATTAGGAGAGCAACTCTTTACAGACGATGCCACCAGAACCCCTGCATGGTTATATATGTTGTTTTATGCCATCAAGTCAGAAGTGATTTATAGCTGACCCTCCCGTGGATTTTTCCAAGGCTGTAAATCATACAGGAGGACATTGCCTATCTTTCTTCTGTGGATTTGAACTGCCTGTCTTCAGGTTGGCAGTGTAACTTCCTACCCTTAAGCCACCAGAGAGCCTATGGTTTTGTAGGTAACCCCAAATTAAATTTTACATTCAAGAGCTCCCTCCAGAGTCCCAAGAAAGAGTTAAGGAGCTTACATTCTAGGGAAGAGGCAGGAATTGTTCTATTTGCATCACCTGCTTGGAAGAAAGGGCAGATTTATTATTCCCTCTGATTCTGGATAAGGAACTCTAGTGGTCCAGTGGTTAAAGGGCTTAGCTGCTAACTGTCAGATCAATGGTTTGAACCTACTGGCTGTCCTGCGGGAGAGAAAAGGGACAGTCTGTTTTCTTAAGATTTACACCTTGAGGGAGCTCTGGTGGCCTAGTGGTGAGAAGCTGTGCTGCAATGCCGAAGGCACATGGTTTGAATCCACCAGATGCTCTGCTAAAGAAGGAGGGGCAATCTCCTCCTGTGCCAGTTAGATCCAATTCTACGGTACACAACAACAATAAAAATTAAAAAGATTTATGCCTTGGACTCAGTGGGCAGTTCTCCTCTTGCCTGCAGGGTTACTTTGAGTTGGCATCCACTCACATGCCCCTGACACATATCCCAACCATGGGCAGATCCCAACCATGGGCAGGGGGCCCAGAGCCCCTGGGCGGGGATGGAGTTGATGCAACAACTGAAATAAAATAAAATTCAGAGAGAACTTATTTCATCTTTAAAATCAACAGGCTAAACAAAATCACATGTATTGTCTCATTCTAAAAATGGATTGACTTTCCTAGCTTCCACAATAAAGCATGGCAGTCCTTCTGCATAATCTAAGGGTGGGTCCACATTTTGAGTTACGCATGGGTCCACATTGTGGTTATATACTACTTTTTATTTTCTGTTACTTATTTTTTAATTTTAAATTTATTTTCATCAAAGTTTACAGAGACTTTGGATTTCCATTCATTCATTGTTGCACTTTTCTCCCTGTCTACCTCTCCCTCCAAATTAGCTTTTCATTTTGAAAAGGAAAAGATAAAAATTCTTTCATTGTTACTTATTTTTTTTAAGAGAACTCCTCCCCATTTTTTTTCAGCAAGTGTGAGCTCAAAGCATGTGAATGGCTGCATCTTGGGGAAGCACCCACAGGAAACTCTTCCTTTCTCTTCTCCTTTCTCCCCACCCCCCGTAGCCCCCGGCTCTCACTTCCGTGCCAGTTGCTTTTTATAGAAGAATCTTGATCTTGGTCTGGTGTATGAATAAGCAATATTGTGGTTAAAGTGTTGGTTCCTCTGACACTTTCCTGTATATTATCTCTGTTGGGCTGGTTCACTATTGACAAAAACCCAGCTTTGTTTTCTAGAATAACAATGAAATGAAATATATAAATATAAAAATAGAGACCTCTGGTGGTATAGCTTGTATAAAGCATTGTGCTGCTAACCCCAAGGCCATGCCTCTCTGACGATTTGAATCCACAAGTGGCTAATCAGGAGAAAGAAGAGTGTTTCTTCCCTTGTGCTTTATATCCTTGGAAATCCAATGGAGAGTAAGCCCTGAGTTGGTTCTTGAAGACAATAAGTTTGAGGGGTTGTTTCTTTTTAATATTAAAAATATATAGATAAAATATGTGTATAAATATATGCTGAAGTCTTAGAAATGTAGAATAGGAGAAGACTTCAGGCCAGCCCTACTTTATTCAGAAATAAAGCTTTGCTTGCTATGAAAATGCAATCTTGTGACAAGTTGTCCAGTTCCACTATCAAGTCCCACTGCCATTGACAGGGCAGGAATTCCAGCTCCCTTCCTCCATTTCATTCTCAATGCTGATCTCAGTGGCCTGGACCATGATGGGCAGGGGAAGAGGGACAGTCCATGTCCTCTCTCAGTCAATTTCTTTCTCTATCTGGTGATTCAGGTATCACTCAGTTCTGCAGTGACGTGAAGGAAATGCTTGGCTTCAGCCCTGGATGGTTTTGGAGGATCTGCTGGGTAGCCATCAGCCCTCTGTTTCTCCTGGTGAGTTGCCACTGCCCTTCTCTTTCTCACCCTGTGTAAAGACTTACCCTCAAATATCTATAAAAATAAATTTTATTTAAGTGTGACATATTGTATAAAAGATTGCACAGAGACATTTCACTTTCTTTCTTTAACTTTGTGTCATAAATTCTAACACCAGCTGTCCCTCTCATGGTACCCTCTACTCCTTGATAACATGTTGCAATGGCCATACAGAATTCACAAAACTTACAAGGTTTATTAGGGAAATAACAGCTTATGACTTGGGATCAAGAATGACTCAGGATACCTGTTGTTCCATCAGGATAGCTTCTCAGTTGTACCTGAATGTAGTCCTCTCCTTGATCAGAGGCCTCTCAGCCCCTTGGCCTCTTAGATCAGCTCACCCTCTGCCTTGCTCAAGAAAGTGTTAAATGCTCTCAAGCTCCACTCATAAGAACCCAGAGATGCCTGTCTTCACTAGGAGACCTTTGCCCAAAGGCACTCAGCTCTCTCACTCTGGGTTTTCAAGCTTAATTCTGTTGACAAGTAACTAGGGACAATCTAGTCCTTCGGGAAACTGCTGAGAGGTGTTCAGCTCTCGTTTCATCAGTTGGCCCACCCACTTTAGCCCCCTTGTGTGTCTGGGATGCCTCACACACGGTTCACACCAGTCTCCTGGTTCTGCTGCTGTTTCTCTCCAAGTGCTTCTCAATGTTACAGCTTTCTCTCTCTCTTTCTGTCATATGGTCCACAAGGCTCTCAGTTTAAGGACTCTTGGTTCAAAGGACACACTCCACTCCCAGCTCTTTCTTAGTTGCAGTAAAGGCCTCTCTTTCTGCCTCTGGAATGACTCATTTAAAGCCTAACATGCTGACAAATCTGACCAATCTTCTTCTTAGCATTGTTACACCTTATTTGCATAGCCCCACCCCTTTAACTGACTATATCATGGACTACCAAAAAAAATAAACAGGTATGTCTTGGAAAAAGTGCAGCCAGCATGCTCATTAGAGGCAATGATGGAGAAATTTCCTCTCACATATTTGGAGTTAGGATAGGATGTTCCTTGGAAGGGGTTATCATGCTGAGAAAGGTGGAGGGTCAGCAAAAGAGAAGAAGAAGATCCTTAACAAAATGAATTGACACAGTGTCTGCAGAAATGGGAACAAATAAATCAGAGATGATGAAGATGTCACAATATATGATAGAGTTCAGATCTGTTGTCACTATGAGTCATACTCACAACAATGGCACCTAACAACAACAACCCCATAGGGCTGCGATGAACGTTATTTGCTTTATTAACAAACTATTAATCCTCTTGAGGACCACAAGCACAAAAATAGTCCATTGAAAAGTGATCCATCCACCACACATATTCACAGAAGCACACTTTGTAACTGCCACCACCAGCTGCTGAGAAATTGGTTCTGACTCATGGTGGCATCACATGTGTCAGGGCAGAACTGTGCTTCACTGGGTTTTCAGTGGCTGGATTTTTAGAAATAGATGCCTGGACTTTCCTTCCAAGGCACCCTGGGTGGACTCGAACCTCCAGCCTTTCGGTTAGTAGCCATGGGTGTTGATTGCACCACTGAAGGGCTCCTTTATGTAATCAGACTCGTATTAAGGAGGGAAAACACCATGACTCTCAGGAGTGTCTCATGTGCCCACTCCCACTCCCCCAAGCCCAAGGTTAACCTCTATTCTGACCTCTAACACCGCATCTGGGCTTCAGTCAGTGTATCACCTCACTCCCCTGCTCAGTGTTAGTGATAAAGGACCCTTTATTCAGCACTTACACCCATTGCTCTGACTCACAACAATCCTATGAGGAAAGAGAGACAGAAAAGTTAAGGGTCCAAGGTGACACAACAAAGAAGAGCTATTTTAGATCAGGGAGCTCTGGAAAGGGTCGTGTTATTTTTACTGTTGTTATGTATTACTGAGTCTGAACCGAGCCATAGTTGACCCTCCAGCAGGTTTTCAGAGGCTTTAAATCACATGGGAGGAGAGTACTCATCTGTCTCCTACAGAGCAGCTGGTGGATTTGAACTGTGTGCCTTAGGGTTGACACCACAACTTCTTACCAGTAAGCCACCAGTGCTCCTGGAAAGGGTCATAATAATTTTGTATTTGTAATTTTGCATTCCTTCATTCCTTTTCTTATGTAGAAGCCACTGATTTCCAGAGGACATGGGTGTGAGAGTTCAGTTCCAAGGACCATCCATCCCCAGGAGTGCTCCATACTCACTCCTCCTTCTGAATACGCCCCTCGGTCCCTCTTGGTCTCTTCTGAGACAAGTGGATAAATGCTCTGCTAATGCATCAGGTGTAGTCTGAGGCGTCCAGAGGTGAACTGACTCTGTGTACTTCCACAGAGATTTTCCTTTATGCATAACTTCATTTTGGAAGCTTTTTGATCCTTTAAAGGGCACTGTTGACATAGTGGCTAAAAATTTAGTCTGTTATCCTCAAGGTTGGCAATTCAAATCCACTAGCCACACTACAAGAATAAGATGAGTCAACCTGCTTACTTAAAAATTGACAGTCTTGGAAACGCCATGAAGCAGGTCTACTCAGTCCTATAGGGTCATTATGCGTGGAAATGGACTCAACAGCAATGGATTTGTTTTGGTCTTTTGGGCTCCATGGTGTAAATATTTCAATATATTTGACTACCAACAGGCAGCATCATGATAGATGGAGAAAAGATTGAAGTTGTCAATGATTTCATTTTGGTTGTAGCTACAGTCAACATCCTTGGTACTAGCAGTCAAGAAATCAAAAGATGAGTCACACTGGGAAGATATGCTGTCAGAGATCTCTCCAGTGTATTGAAGAGCAATGATGTCAGTTTAAAGACTAAAGTGTGTTTGATGCAATCCACAGTTTTCTCAATTGCTTGCTATGCAGTTGAAACTTGGACAATGACCAAGAATAACAATAGAAGAATTGATGTCTTTGAGCTATGATACTGGAGAAGAATACTGAGTATCTCATGGACTGTCAAGAAAACAAATAGCTCTGTCCTGGAGAAAGTGAAACCAGAGTGCTTTTTGGAAGCAAGAAGGGTGAAACTTTGCCTCACAAACTTTGAGCATGTTCTTAGAAGGAGGCTAGTCCTTGGAGGAGGACATCATGCTTCGGAAAGTGGATGATCATTGTAAGAGAGGAAGATCCTTAATAAGACGGGCTGATACCGTGACTGTAACAATGGGCTCAAGAGTGTCAGAGATGGTGAGGCTGGCACAGGATAGGACAGGGTCCAGATCTGCTGTCCACAGGGTCACTAGGACTCACAATCAACTCAATGGCACATAACAAGAACAACAATTGAAAAGTTGGCAATTCATGTTCACTCAGAGGCATTTTGGATAAATGACCCAGAGATCTACTTCACAAAAATCCACTATTGCAAACAGTTCTAATCCGACATCCATAGGGTCATCACGAGTCAGCATCGATCAGTAGCAACAGCTTGGTTTGATTTAGAGTCAGAAGATTTATTGGACCGTTCCTTCAGTCATTCCCAGTTTATTTAGAACGAGGCCATCCCATTTCGTCTTAGGATAGCTTGGCTTTGGGCATAACTGGCCTTTCCCTCTTTCAAAATGATCTTTTTTGCATTCTGTGTTTTGGAGTTCTTGGGTAGTAGCCATTTAGTTTTTTGGACCATCCACACATCTGGATGATAATTTCTAGATGGTAATTTACACCTCCTTACCTCTGTGGCTTCATGTGTCTCTCTCTGCCCCATTGTCCCTCCCTGACTTCCATTACCGTGGACCCTCAAAGCTTCTGGTACAAAATGCCAAGTTTGTCCCAAGCTTCAAGTCTTCTTAGGGCCCAATGAGTCCCACACATTGGCTCGAAGCCAGATGTCTCTTAGACTCTGGTTTATAAATTTACTTATTACTTTGTCACTTGTTGCTTTTAGGTAAATGATTTTGGGGCTTTTAATATTTTTTCACTGGGAATTTTTAATTATGAGAGTCTATATAATAACCTTGCCCACCATTAGTAGAAGTCTTTACAGAAGAGATTATTCAGTTTCTTTTATTACTAGTGCTTCTCCATAATCTGCTTAATCTCTCCTACATTTTCTCAAGGGAAAGAAGAGACATAGGGCTAACTCTCTGAGGGAAGAACATTTTTTTCCATTCTGGTTTTCGTCACAGAGTGAGGAAATGATTGAGTGAGCAGACTCGGGTCTAAATTTTAAGGAGATGCTTAAAACACTGAACAAGCAAGATGAAGGATAGATATTTAATGAAATATATTTTTAAATATGCATAATAAAAGTCTATGATGGGCAAGATATCAAAATGTTAAGTAAATACAGGATCAGACCTTGAACTTACCTCACTCTCTCATCCTAAACCAAATCTATCAGACCCTGTCTTTTTGAAAGAGTGCATTAAAATATGGTTCATCCCGAGTATGGAATTTTTGGTGCCCCCTTAATTTACGCAGTCGAGTTGGGAGCCTCACACTAGCCCTGGGCCTGAGACTTGGGGTGTTTTCATTTCTGTGATTTCAGATGGTCTGGCAGCCTGGGTGAGCACTTGGATGCCCAGTCAATGGGTTTCTCTCCCAACAAAACCCATACACAAACTTGGACTCAGATACATGTTACTCATAATTCCCATGATGCCCTCTTATACTCACCTCCTCTCAAGGCAAGGGTTCAAATGCCCAATTAAGAAGAAGCCAATCTGTCTTCTGGTCCTGGTTTACTTCACAGATCCCTTGCTTTGGGCTTTTTAAGGCTGCTTTAGGTAAACAGTGAGTAGCTTACTAAAAATATCCTGTTTTCACTGAAGCCAAATCACAAAAGAAAGAAAATATCGTATACATGAGTAAGGAGAGGCTGGGACAGGCCAGAAGTTTCCAGAGCAACAGTTAACTGGCCGTGCCAAGAGCTTGAGCCCTCTTGGAGCTGAGCTGGCTCCTACACACCTGACGTCAAGATGAGACAAGTCGCAGCACGGATGGCTTCTCACCAAACCCTCTCTCGCCCTGTTCCAAAATTAGCTTCCTTTATAACTGGGTCTGGTGGTGAGGAGAGTAAGTAGGGAAGGAGGGTTTTCGATTGGCTGGGCTCCTATTTTAAAAGCTCCCTCCTTGATGTAACATAACACTGCTCAGAAGATGGATATGTGTTTAACAATTTTCCACTTTATTACCTGAAGGCTAGAGGGTGGGAGAAAGAAGATATAAATAGGTATTTAACCATACAAATAATTTACATTACAGTCTTCTTTATGACTACAAAATAATAAAATAAAATTAAATTAAGAGCAATAACCATTTAGGCACAGAGGTTACTAGGCAAAAACGGATAAGCTTCTCTAGAAGTCAAATGAAATTTAAAAAACAAACAAACAAAAAACCCCACCCCACCTTACAATGGATCTTGGGAGCACACCATGGAATTTTTCTTGGCTGGGATTTTCATGTAAAAAGTTGTTTCTGCCTCCATAATTTATTTCATTATGCGCACCTGTGGGTCTGTCGTCATTCTTTGTTGAGACACCGCAGGACAGAGCTCCCTGTTGAGTCCCCTGGCTGTGGAGCTTCATGCAGAGCTCACGATGAAAGAACACATACATACCCAGGGGCCTCAGTCCCTTTCAAGTCATGAGAATCTTATCGCTCCTGGACACAAGTTGCTTTCCAGCTGACCCAGAACCATCACAGCTGAGAAACACAGGAGAAAATGACCCAAAGCAGCGAGGAAGACGAGACCCTAGACTGTCAGGTGTTTCCTTGAGTAGTGCAAGTGGTTAAGCACTCAGGATTACTTGATGGTTCAAATCCACTCAGGGACTTTCAAACTGGCGATCTGTTTCCAAAATGTCACAGGCTTGAAAACCGTATGGAACTTCCTGCTTTGCACACGTGGGGTCAACATAGGTAGGAATCAGCTCAGAGGCAGCCAGTGATGACAGGACTGGCCAGGACTCCCCTGCTTGACAAGGTGGTGTCCAGCGGCTGCCAATCTCTTCTCCTTTCCCGAGGACTGAACTGAAGGGGGTGCTGTAACATCCCTACCTGACATTCTGAGGCCTAGCAGGAGCTGAGATGGGCAGATGGGGGGGAAATGTGTGACAAGCAGCTGCCTGTGTGACTGCTGCAGATTCTTGTTGTTGTTAGATGCCACTGAGTCATATGAGTACGACTCATCAGCGACTCTCTGAACACTTAGGGACAGAAATTGGTGCCTTTTGTGTGTCCTGTGTGTCAGAGTTCAAGCTAGGATATATCACCTTTTGGAAATGTCTTGGAAGTATCTTAACTCTAGCATTTGGTGTTCTTGGAATTAGAACTGCCTCTATCTACATGGATTTTGCCAAGATTTTAAATGTTTCTTGGAAATTTCTTTTTTAGTTCATCATTTGCAGTTTTTTGATGAGCCCCCCAGAGCTACGACTTTTCCAATATAATTACCCCCACTGGAGTGTCATCTTAGGTTACTGCATAGGAACCTCGTCATTCATCTGCATTCCTGCATATATCATTTATCGACTGATCACCACTCCAGGGACCTTTAAGGAGGTAGGTACTAGTGTTTTGTGTATATGTGTTTTCAGACTGGTAATGGTAATTTTTTTTAGGGTGGAGGGAAGGATTTTCCTGTTCTTAATCAATCAACCTTTCGGCTAGTTGAGACTTAAGTCCGTAATGAACCCTCTGAACCTTAAATGCCGTCATCCTGAGTCTGAAGAACTCAGCACCCGACTACCACCATGAGTCATTCTAAAAGGGATCACAGTAGATGACTCGGGACAGAATGGGGGAAATGAGACTAGACAACAACAACAACAAATATTAAAAAGTTCAGCCTTACTGGCCTAATAGAGATGAGTGAAATCCCTGAGACCATGGCTCTAAGTCATCCTTTGAACCTGGAGCAAAACTCATTCCCCATGACTCGACTTTCAGTCAAATAATAGATAGATAGGCCTACAAAGTGACCAGTAACAACAGAGAAGTACTCACTACTTAGATTAGCCAACTCTGTAAGGTCAAAAGGGTAGGACTGGCCCAAGGGTAAAGCTTAGAAGGCAGAAAAGATGGATTCAGGGAAATGAGGACGATGAGGAAGAAGTAGAAAGAGTGCATGCAATTACACTATAGGTATTGTAAGTGTTGTTGTTGTTGTTATGTGCCGTCAAGTCGCTTGCGACTCATAGCGACCCTGTGTACAACAGCCCTAAACTCTGCTCTGTCCTGTGCCAATCGCACTGTCTCCAACACACCTATCCCGATTACCCCAGTCACGGAATCAATCCACCTCGTAGAGGGCTTTCCCCGCCTGTGCTGTCCCTCCACCCTACCAAGCATGATGTCCCTCTCCAAGGACCGGTCCCCCTTACAACATGTCCAAAGTATGTCAGACAGAGCCTCATTGTAAGTAGAGGTTTAAAATAAAATGTGTATGAATGGTTGAATAAAAACCAGTGTGCTTTGTAAACTTTCATGCAAATAGCAATTTTCTTTTAAAGTTTACTTATGAAATTATATTCCTTTACAGTCTGTAATATCTAATATCCTATCAGTGAAAAGAGGGCGGCCTAGTAGGAAATGTTGGTCTGGCGATATTTTCAAAGAAAAAAAAACCTAAAGGAAACGGTAAATTTCTTGATTCTTTTGGGCTCTCACCACATGCAAAGGTGGGAGTTTGTGAAGTAAGCTCACACTTCCCAGTGTAGTCTAGAGGATAATTCTACACACCTGCAGCCTGAATGTGTCACGGAGGAGGTCACTGTTGCAAACTTCTTAGGACTCAGCACCAAGAGACACAGGGGCTGGAAGCTGCCTCTAGTCTGCAAGTGTTCATGAATATACTTTTTGGATTGTAGCTGGTCATCACCTGGCAGAGGGCCAGAGCCTGAAATTTGAAGAGTAAGAATAGCATGGTGACTAGAAAATTGACAAAATAAGAAAAACAAAAATGGGCCTTAAATGTTGGGAGTGAGGCACTAGAAGAGCCCCAGAAGAGGATATGCAGACAAGGGGACAGAAGTTGAATGACCTACTCTAGGTCGTACATTGTTGGTCTTGTCCCCACCATACATACACGTCAGTGCCTCCTTCTGTGTCTGTACCCCATGACTCCACTTGAGACCAGTAGAGTGATCTGTGTGTTTACTTCCTAATGAACGAGGCATATTTCTGTTTAATCAGGTTTGGGTTCTGCATTCACTTATGAGGATAAACTTACTTACTCACTGCCACTCTTGGTTGAGACTCATAGCTTCCTTCCCTCCATTGGGTTTCCAAGACTATAAATTGCACCAGCAGGAAACTGCCAACTTTTATCCCACAATCTTTGCTTTCTAATAACGTGGTGCATCCTGGAACCTGATGGGCATAGCAGCCACTTTTAACTCCCTCTTTAGCAGGTCAGCTACGTATCAGTTCCGACTTGATGGTGCATAACAACATCAGCAACAATGGATTTCTCATGTGTGATTTTGGTGCTTAAATAATAAGGTCATGAGTGACAAAGGGATATAATTAGAAAATTGTACATTATACATTTGAAAATTCTACACAGAAAATTTTACATTCTAATTCTACATTTCACTAGCTGTGAGAAGGGAACATCCTGAATTCCATTCATTGGCCCTGATCTTTAAAGTAGAATGAATGCTAGAACCAGACAATAGAAGAGGTTGGAGGAGGCCACATGTTTTTTTTCCATCTGAAATAAAAAGGACGAGTAGCCGAGATGAGCCTACAACCAGCTAATCAAAATAGGCTTTCAGGTCCAATTCTGCCTCCTTGCCATATGGTTTTGCTAAGTAATTCAATAAAGATTTTTCTAAGCATCTGTGGGGCTGCTGGTTTTCCGTTTTCATATCCCTGAGTGAGCCGCTTCGTGTCACCCTGACACTTAGATTTTCAAAGGCGGTTGACACTTCAGACGCAAACCCAAGCATATTTCACACTTGTCTTAAAGCACCTCTGTGTTCCTGCTCTTTCTGAAGAAGTTCTCAGGCTTTTCCCAGTGATGACTGCTGTATTGGCAGGAGACGGTTATAGAATTGAGAACTTTTCAAGCTCTGGTGGCCTAGTGGCAAGAAGCTGCACTGCAATCTCAGAGGTGCACGGTTCGAATCCACCAGATACTCTGCTGGAGAAGGAGGAACAATCTCCTCCTGTACCTGTCAGATCTGATTTGACGGTACACACAAAAAATAATGACATTAGGGAGAAAAAAAGGATTGAGGACTTTTCTGACCACACCTTTTAAAATGTCATGATGTAGTTAGGTACATGTACTCTTGTGCCAACTAACCAGTACTCGCTTGCCAGGAAATTCATTAAATTAGGAATGTCCTGGCCCTCGCCGGGTGGGATGGCACTGTACACTGTGGTTCTGGCGTGTGTGCAGGGTGTCGGGAGTCCTGCTGAGGTGAGGAACTGAAGCCCAGCACACACTCTGCTCCCCACGTTCAGTGTGGTTTTTTGACGCCTCTGCCTATCCCTAGTCCTTCCAAGACATGTCTCATTCAGCAGTGGCCAGTGAAAGCTCATTCTCTTCCATTAGGGACACAGTGGTTTTTCTAATTAGTTTATAGATGCGTGTTGTTCTTGAACCTATAATTTTTTTCATATTTTTTAATTATTATTCATTTTAATGAAAGTTTACAGACTTCGGATTTCCATTCATTCATTGTTGCACTTTTCTCCCTGCCCACCCCTCCCCCCAGTTCACTCGTCTCTTTGAAAAGTAAAAGAAAAATGCCTTCATTGTTATACAATACCTCCCCGCAAGTCCACTCCACTATGCAGCATTTGTTCTGGACTCCTGTCTTGACAATAATACCTAATCATATATCCCTTTAAAAAGGAACCTATAATTTTTAACTGTCTTTGGGAAAGGATAAATTGGGAAAGCCAACAGGACTATTCCAATTTACTATGAAATACCATTGCTTTTTTTATTAATGTGAAAGTTTTTGCAATCCTATCAAATTACGAAGCTGTTCCTAACATCATGTTTTCTTCCCCACAGCGCATTATTAAAAGTATCACTCCAGAAACGCCAACAGAGATTCCCTGTGGCATCCGTTTGAATGCTGTGTGAAAACACACTTCATTGAGAGGAAGATGGCTCCCCACCAGCCTCTCCCCCTTACATCTGACCTTGTCACACCTCGACTTCTCCCCTCAAAGTGAATGAGTTTCCAGCTAAACCTGACAACGGAAGGGTCTCCTTTACAGAGACGCAGACCCCAAAGACCACGGGGCCCAGACTCCTAATGGCTTCCAGCCTCTTCTTTCCGTGAAATCTCCTGGCCGTGTTGCCACGTTGGACTCTATCTGTGATACAGCAGAACAGGCTCATTTTGGCTCTGTCACAGGGTGTGTGAGAGGTGATGACAAGTGCCCTGCCATCTGTTAGGTTTAGGAGTAGAGTCAAGTTTGTACTGTAAACGTCTCCTGTATCGTTCTCAGTGTGATCCTCGGTGTGTGACATCTGTTTGCTTGTAGAGGTTTCAGTGCGTGTGAATGCACAGCTGACACAGGAGAAAACGGGTGCCAAGTGCTCGCCATGTCTTTTCTGACAGCATGGAATTCTCTAGAGTGTTCCAGAACCCTCTTCACCGTGTGCTGCTGTAGAGTCAGGAATGGATGATAGAAGCAGCTAAACTGAAAAATATGTGTATGTGTGAACTTGCGTGTCTGTGTATGCTGCTGTCTCAGTGTATTCTTCTCTCTATTCTGGTTCTATGGGCCCATCAAAAATTATATGATTGCCTGTGATTTTTAAAAAATATTAACAAATGCCACACACTGAAATGTGTATTGTATGTTGTTATTTGTTGTTTTCTTTTTCATGTTGATTTTTAATAGGAAAGCACACTGGGGAGGGGGTTGGAACTGGCTTGTCCGCTGTGCTGTGGTGGTGGTGGTGGTAGTTGGGCTATTGTGCAGGGTCTATGACAGTGACACAAACTGTTGGTGTTGAGGCTGCTGCTGCTGTTTTCTGGTGGCTGCCTTGCTGACTAGGCTGTAGGCCTTCTCTGTAGATACCAGTGTTGTCTCCTTGGCCTTGGCCTTGGGCACCTGAGTTGTTTGAACAAGTGTCTTAAAGGGGCCTACATCTTATAGCTTGGCAGAAATGTATTTAAATGAATGAATTCCCAGCTAAGCCTTGGTCTCGGCCATGTTGCTTTTAAACCGAGCCAGACCAAGTGCCTGGACAGAGCCAGACCAAGTGTCTGGACAGCTCTGGAAACAGCAAACAATCTTGAGAGCCAGGCATCTCGGTGGATTTCCGTCCAGCTTCAGTTATTAGAGTTCACACAACTAGAGTGCTCCCTCCACCATCAGCCAGGCATGGTTGATGTTCCAGGTGAAAGTAGTCACGGTCTGATTCTGTGGGTCCACAATAGCGTCCTCCAGGATGTACACCAAGTGAAAGACATCGTGGAAAATAATGGTTCAGCCCCACAGGGCATCCACTGGTCTTGGTCAGGAATCTTCTGGACAGACGTTTCTGGTCAGGGGTAACCTCATAGTGTACTATGTCTTCCATCAAGCCATGTTTACTGAACGAATTTGAGTACCATTGCCAGAATGTGGTGAACATGAGGGCCCAGGAATTCTGAAGCACTCTCTGGCCCAGGAAATATGCCACCATTGTCCTGGCTGGGAAAGGCTCAGCACTCATAAAGCATCAGGAGTGCGGAGGCCAGGGTGGCATGTGAAGGCCCAGCCAGAGCTCCGCGCATGCCCACCAACCTAGCTCAGTCATCACCGCAGCTATAAAGAGTGGTGTGTTTTATTGAAAGGTACAATTATTATAAGACATTCTGCCACCTTCTCCTTTATACTTTGGCCCATACATCTTCCTTTATGAACTGACCATTAGCGTTTGCTGCACTCCTGTGCCATCCTCCTGTTTGTCTTTGCTAAACATTCACTGACAAATCTGGCTGAATGTCAACACATACACCTTCAGTGTCTTATTGGCCATCTGGTTTAACCTTTGTCTAATGCAAGTGACTCAGCTTGATCATTTCATATCATGTACTTTGCTTCGTGTTGTTGTTGTTATGTGCCGTCAAGTTGCCTGTGACTCATAGCGACCCGGTGTACAACAGTCCTAAACTCTGCTCTGACCTGTGCCAATCTCATTGTCTCTGACACCATTACCCCGGTCACTAAATCGATCCATCTCATCAAGAGTCTTCCTCTCTTGCGCTGTCCTTCCACCCTCCCCAGTATGATGTCCCTCTCCACGGACCGGTTCCTCCTTGCAAAATGTCCAAAGTGTATCAGACAAAGCTTCAGAATCCTTGACTCCAAGGAGCAGCCTGGCTTTACCCTCTCCAGGACAAACCTGTTCATTCTTTTAGCAGTCCATGGTATATTCAATACTCTTCCCCAGCACCTCAGCTCAATTCTCCTTCTATCATCCCTAGTCATTGTCCAGCTCCCTGATGCATAGCAGGTGATTGCAAAGACCATGTTTCAGGAGCACTTTAGTCTCCAAACTGACATCTTTGCTCTTCAGTCCTTTAGAGACGTCTCTAACCCTAGACTTTCCCATCGCAATCTGTCTTTTAATTTCCTGGCTGCTGGTGACAAGAGTGTTGATTGTGGAGCCGAGCAAACTAAAGCTGTGAACAGTCACAATCTCTTCACCATCCATCCTGATGCTGCCAATCGGCCCAGTGGTGAGAATCTTTGTTTTCTTGATGATGAGTCTCAGTTCATACTGAAGACTGCAGTCCCTGACCTTCCACAGCAAGTGTTTCAGGTCCTCCACAGTTTCAACAATCAGGGTTGCATCATCTGCATAATGCAGATTGTTGATGAGTCTTCCTCCAATCCTGATGCTACATTTCTCCTCATAGAGCCCAGCCTCCTGGATAATCTGTTCTGCATAAAGACTGAAAAGGTATGGAGACCCCTGGCATACACCCTTCCCAATTTTGAATCATGCAGTGCTTCCTTGCTCTGTTCTGACGACTGCCTCCTGGTCTGAGAATAGGTTTCTCATTAGCATGATCAAGTGTTCTGGGATTCCCATTCTTCTCTGAGTCAGCCAGTTTATTGTGATCCACACAGTCAAACGCCTTTGCATAATCAATGAAACACATGTAGACATTCCTCTGGTATTCCCTGCTTTCAGCCAAGATACATCTAACATTAGCTACAATATTCCTAGTACCACGACCCCTTCTAAAACGAGATGGCACTTCTGGCAGTTCTCTGTTGATGTGTTGTTCCAGTCATTTTTGGATAATCTTCAGCAGAATCTTGCTTGCATGTGAAATCAATGATATTGTTCGATAATTTCCACACTCTGACGGATCACCTTTCTTTGGAATAGGAACAAATATAGATCTCTTCCAGTCAGTTGGCCAAGTGGACTTGATTCCCGTGGACTTGATTTCACTTGCTTCATGAGGAGACTATAAATCCAGTTCTCACCTTGACCTAGGGTATGCAGATCTCGAACGCGGACGATAAATAAGAGTATCCTCAATGTAAGAACAGTTGAAGAGTTTGGGTTACAATGAAATGGCTCTCCCTCTTCCTGCCTCCAGCCACAGTTCTTGACCTTTCTTTGTTATTAGCTCTGTGAGTCTTCCACAAGTGCTGTCAAAGGGCCAGTTAAGGCTTCATTTTACAGAAAGTTCTTAATGCGTATCAAGTAAACTTAGCCTGTGGTGGCTGGTGACTCCCAGGGTGTGAAGAAAAGGAAGTAAATTCTACCTTGTAGTGTGACATTTTCACATTAAAACCTTGAAGAGAGTAAGACTTTTCAAAATTGTTGGGGTTTTTAAAATTAATGTTAGTGAAAGTTTACAAAGACTTAGGGTTTCCATTCATTCATTGTTGCACTTTGCTCCCTGCCACATCCTTCCCCCCCAATTCATTCTTCTCCTTGAAAAGTAAAAGAAAAACTTTCATTGTTATACAATCCCTCCTCCCAAGTCCACTCCACTGTGCAGCATTCATTCTGGACTCCTGTCATGACTATAATACCCAATCACATATTCCTTTTAAACAGTTCTCTCCCTCATCTGTTTCAATGCAGTATACATCATTCCTCCCCTCCTTCTCTGTCTTCTCTCAACCCCGATATCAGTCCCATTTTACAATAGTGACCCCATGCAGTATTTGTCCTTTTGTGATTAAGATCTTTCACTCAGCATAATGTCCTCCAGGGTCATCCACTTTGTATATTTCATGAATTCCTTGTTTTTCAGTGCTGCATAGTATTCCATTGTGTGACTATACCAGAGCTTCTCTATCCATTTGTTTGCTGATGGGCACTTGGGTTGCCAAATTGTTGTTGTTGTTCAGTGCCATTGAGTCAAGTGTGACTAATTGTGACCCTATGAACAAAAGATCTAAACGCTGTTCTGTCTTGCACCATCCTCACTCTTCCTAACACACAAGAGCCCATTGCAGCAGTCACCATATTGATTCACCTGGTTGAGGGTCTTCTCCGTTGAAAGCCCTCCACCATTCCCAACATCATGTCCCTCTCCAAGGAATAGCATCTCCCAAGCAATATGTCCAAAGTATGTCCTCATCATTCTTGCCTCCAAAGAGCACTCCTGCTGCACCCTCTCCAAGACATAGGTTTGGTCCCTTGGGATATCCATGGCTCTTCTCCAACATCACACAGCTCAAAGGCATCAATTCTTTTCCTGTCATCCTTATTCATTGTCCAGGTCTCAGATGAATAGCTAGTAATCAGAAAGACTATGGCCTGAATCAGACGTACCTTAGTCTTCAAACTGACATCACTGCTCCTCACTAATTTGGAAAGTTCCCTAACTGCAGATTTTCCCAGTACAATGTGTCTCCTTATTCCCTGACTGCTGGTACTGAGGGGGCTAACTGAGGATTCAAGCAAGATGAAGCTGTTGACAGTTTTTCCAAGTCAAATGTTAGATGGCTATATAGGAACCATGAAAATTTTCAAAGTCTTTCCCAAAAAATCAAATAAATAAAAAATTTGTTTCACATAGGTTGTACTTATTTGACCCCTATTTGTTAACACTGTTGTTGTTGTTGTTGTTGATTGTCTTCGAGTTGAGCACAACTCATAGCGACACTATGAACAAAAGGCCTGAAGCCCCTCTACAACTATCAACATTTATCAAAGTCTATAGAGTTGGATTTCACCTGATGGTATGAATAGGAATCAGATCGATTACATCTGTGGAAAGAACTGCTGGAGAAGCTCAATATCAGCTGTGAA